ATCTGTAACATCAGTTAGTTAGCCGTCATGTTTTTCCATATAATCAATTATTTGTTAAACATGTTTGACTGTTATATAATTATGTATCAATCTATAGCATCAGTTAGTTAGCCGTCATGTTTTACCATATAATCAATTATTTCGTTAAAGATGGTTGACTGTTATATAATTATATATCTATCTGTAACATCAGTTAGTTAGCCGTCATGTACTTCCATACAATCAATTGATTGATGAAAGATGGTTGACTGTTATATAATTATGTATCTATCTGTAACATCAGTTAGTTAGCCGTCATGTACTTCCATATGATGAAATGATTGTTTAAATATGATTGACTGTTATATAATTATGTATCTATTTGTAGCATCAGTTAGTTAGCCGTGTTGTACTTCCATATAATGAAATGTTTGGTAAAAGATGGTTGGCTGTTATTTAATTATCTATCTATTTGTAGCATCAGTAAGTTAGCCGTGATGTATTTCCATATAAAGAAATGATTGGTTAAAGATAGTTGACTGTTACATAATTATTTATCTCTCTGTAACATCAGTTATTTAGCCGCCATGTACTTCCATATAAGCAATTGATTGGTTAAAGATGGTTGACTGTGAAATAATTGTGTATCTGTCTTTAACATCAGTTAGTTAGCCGTCATGTACTTCCATATAATGAAATGATTGGTAAAAGATTGTTGATTGTTATATAATTATATATCTATCATTAACATCAGTTAGTTAGCCGTCTTGTAATTCCATATAATCAGTTGATTGGTTAAAGATGGTTGACTGTTCTATAATTATATATCTATCTGTAACATCAATTAGTTAGCCGTGATGTACTTCCATATAATCAATTTATCTGTTAAAGATGGTTGACTGTTATATAATTATGTATCTATTTGTAACATCAGTTAGTTAGCCGTCATGTACTTCCATATAATGAAATGATTGGATAAAGATGGTTGACTGTTATATAATTATGTATCTATCTGTAACATCAGTTATTTCGCCGCCATGTACTTCCATATAAGCAATTGATTGGTTAAAGATGGTTGACTGTGAAATAATTGTGTATCTGTCTTTAACATCAGTTAGTTAGCCGTCATGTACTGCCATATAATCAATTGATTGGTAAAAGATGGTTGACTGTTATATAACTATGAGTCTATCTGTAACATCAGTTAGTTAGTCCTCATGTACTTCCATATAATGAAATGAATGGTTAAAGATATTTGACTGTTATA